TCTTTGTAATATAGCCTCTCCTTACGGCATCTCGATCATTAGGAGGATACTCCATAATTGGAATTCTTTTTCCAGGGTCATGTGGAAGAAGATCAACATCATAAATGCGAGTATCATCGGAGTCAACAGTAGTATTTGGAACACTTGGACCTGTGTTCTCAGGTGGTGGAATTGTTGCAGCAATAGGAACCTCATCATCATTAGGAGACACATGTTCTTCTATTGGAGGATCCCTTGAACTAGGTGAAGAACAAGTTGAAGACTTTTGTGACTTCCCGGCACGTTTCCAAAATGACTCTAAACTCATGGTATAATAGGTATATACTGCTAGTCTGCTACACACACATGATAAATGCAGAATGAAATCAATGAATGAATGATAAATCTAGAAAGCTAATTAAAACTATCGTAATTAAAGTTTACAGTCAATTACTCAATTAGTAAACGAAATCTAGACGGCAGAAAACGAAATAGCATATGAAATTATGAAAACTAGAAGGCAGAAAACGAAATACAGAAAATAGCATATGAAATTCAACAATGTAACAAAAAAAAATCCCCAAATTGAGAACTTGAGAAGTAAATTAGATAATTATAACCAAACTTCAGCAATTTACAAAAAATTGGCAATTCGTAATGTATATTAGCAATTTAGCATATGAATTTCAAGTATTCAATGATTTAGCAAAAAAAAATCCCCAAATTGAGAAGTAAATTACATTTGCAAAAAAAAAATCCCCAAATTCACTTACGTACATACACCGATACACGGCTGTGAGGCTGTCAGTGCTGTGACGGACGACGGTGGGTCTGCTGGCCTGCTGGGTGAGTGGCTGGTGCGCTGCCGCTGCCACCGTGTTCTGGCGTTCTGCTGACTGCTGCCGTGTTGCGCCGGGAAGAGAAGGAGGAAGAACGGGAAGAGAAGGACTGAAGGAGGAAGAACGGGAAGAGATTAAGAGAAGGAGGAAGAAGTTAGGGTTTTGCAATTTGGGGGAATGAGGAAGAGGAAAGCTGGAAGCAGGGAAAGCTCAGGAAACAAAATTAAAAAAAAAAAAGTGTGAGTTATGGGTTTTGAACCCACAAACTCTTGTGTGATGGGAGGTAAAAATAACCATTGGGCTACAACTTTACTTGTTGTCATATAATACACAAATATTCTATTTAAACCTATTTTGATTTTTTTTTTTTATAAAAAAAAAAGTTTTTAATTTTTTTCAAAAAATCAGTGGGTTCAATGAACCCACTTGAACCCACCCTAGCTCCGCCACTGAGTACTAGTGAGTCGACTTTTGTATGGTTGGAAAATTTCCCTCAAAATTTCGTCACCTTGACGGAGCTTGATTTGATTTGATAATATAGCCAGACTAACGTTTCTTCAAAAAAAAAATTAAATAAATAAAAATAAAATATATATAGTGAGAGAAAAGGGGTAAAATGCAAGTTTAGTTGGAAAAAAAATAGAGTTGAGTCAAACTATTTAAAAAGACTTATACTCCAAATAAAAGGAGAATTTCTCTACCTCAAAGGGCATTATAGTAATTTGTTGCATTGTTATATTTTGTGAATAGAAAAGTGGACCGTTCTATGGTTAGTGGCTTTTTGAATTTTAAAATGGACAAAAAAAAAAAAAAATCTGTTTAAGGAGAATTTCCCAGCCTCAAGTAACTCGAGTCCTTTAGGATTCAAGTAATGACATTAAAGTAAGGGGCCGTTTGGTTCACACAAGGGAAACGGAATGGAAGAATGAGGAGAAAGGAAAGCTAATCCCTCATTTTTGTATTATTGTTTGTTTTACATAAACAAAGGGAATCAGATTTTCAACCACCACTACCCTCCTCCTTCTACAACCACCAATCCACCACTACCCCTTAAATCTGCCATTCACTTACCACCACCACCACATTAGCCACCACCCTCCTCATGACCTACCACCGTTTCCCACCTTTTTCGCTGCTCTTCTACCGTCGTTGATGCCCTCTTCACTCTCAATTTTTTTTTAAAATTTTTTTTATTAGATCTAGTTGCTTGGTTTTCATGGTGGATATGGAGGTTTTGGAGATATGGGTGGTGTTTGTGACGAATTGGGTGAGGTGGGTTTAGGTCAAATTTGGGAGATTTTGGTTGGTGTTTTCGGGGAGGTGGTTTTGGGAGATTTCGGTGGGTGGTTTTCAGGGAGGGTGCGTGGGTTTTTTCGAGTGGGTTTAGGGTGATTTGGGTGGGCGGTGATGTTGGTGAAGTTGGGTCGGTTGATGGTAGTGGTGTTGACGGTTAGGCGGTGGTTTTTAGGGTTTTCGCGGGGAGTGGGGGAGTTTTTCGGGGGAGGAGAGCTCCGGCGAGGCACGGGGGAGCTCCGACGATGGGCAGGGAAGATCCGGCGAGGGATGGTGGAGGTGCGGCGATGGTGGCTTGGTGGTGGGATAGGGGAGGATGGTGGTGGTTGGTTTGGATATGGTGGTGTTGTGGTGGCTAAGGAAAGGGAATGGAAAAGTCTTGGGGGGTGGGGAATGAAGTTGGAGGGATTTGGGGTAATGGAGAGGGTAAAGGGAATGAAAGAAAGTGCCAAACAAACAACAACAAATGGAATCAGGGCAGTTGATTTCCATTCCCTTTGTTGAATATCCCAACCAAACGCACCCTAAATTTTTATATGGTAGAAATCAAGTAAGGACATTGTAGGACTGGAGCTACTTGAGGCAAAGAAATTATTGATGAAAATTGAGTCAAACTTTTACAAGTTAAGATAACAATTGGTGATTTCCAATTTCACCTTTTAGTGATCAACTTTTTTTTCATTGCACTTTGGTGATTAAGGTCAACTTTCCGGAGACATTAATTAAATTGGGGGAAAAAACTTAATCACTTGGTGTTTAAAATTAGTCATCTAAAGGTTAACCAATAGAAATTAAGTTGATGTAACTTTATATATATATATATATCGAAAACGTCAGTTATTGAAATGAAGTTGCTGCTCCCTTTGTTCCCTATTTTCGTGCGCTCTACCCTCTTCTTCTCTGGGTATTATTTCTTCCTTGTTAAAGGTGAGTTAAACATTATTCAGGTGAGTTATGCCACTGAAAATTAACCTCAACCATCAAAGTATCAAACTTCAATGAAATACAAGTTGATCACCAAAAGGTGAAATTGGTGAAAACTTGATCACCAAATGTGATCTTAACTCAACTTTTAACAAGGAAGAAATTTTATTATTTCAACCAAGATATTATCCTATATCACCCTCGAGATTTCTACCAATTTAGCTAGTATTAATAACATTTCTTTGTAAAGTATTGTAAACCAATTCCCTCCATATCTAGTGGGGATATATTAATTGACATGTAATCTCTAAGAAAAATAATTACCATTAAAAAAAAGATGGAAAGGACAACATAGCCTTGATGAGATCAAGCAATCAAAAACCAAGTAAAAATTGATTTAAATAAATAAGAGGTCCTACAATTAATTAGGATCTGCCAGGCATTGATTGTATAAATCAGATCAAATTAGTGAAGAGGTGGCCTATCAGCATTTAGTTAATAGGTAACAAACAAATTTACAATTAATTGTCAGCTTAACAAGTCATTTTATTTGATAAAGATGCATTGTTATTTGTAAGTAGTACAGGGTTAGCCAGTAAATCTGCAGAATTACTACTACGTTTTGATTATATCGATTATAAATACAAGTTATAAATGCTACTCGTACTTAACCATAGAATAGTGTATTAACACTCAATAAATAGTCTAACGATTTGTTGTAGCTATTAGGATGCTGTCATTTGATTCATCTAATTGAATATAAGCGTCTGGAAGTTGTTGCAACTGTGTTCCTCTAGTTGTCTTGTCGCATTTGGGTGTTAGCCTGGCGTTAAATTTTCAGTACGGTTCCTAACAGTCAATCATTCGGCCATTATATATTGTCGTCCATCTCTAGGCTTTCGAAAATCAAGTAGTAGAATACATGTTTCTAATCGTTTATTATTTTGCAGGGTTAAGATAGGTTGTAAACGTAAGCGAGCTCCGTTCGCCACAGACAACTCGTACGACCTCATGCAAAAGAAGATGTTCTTTGATGTAGCATTCTGTTTATTTGGTTCTCATGTTACTTAGTGTGTGTCTTTCTGGTTGTTTTGTGTTCTTGTATTAGTTTGTTTTCAGGTTATAATATTGTTTTTCGTTAATAGAATCTTTTGTCAAAAAAAATAAAAATTACAAAACCAAATCTAAATTCAACTTAAAATACTCGATTTGCTAATCCCACTATAGGTAGCACTCACCACATTTAAACGGTATAGATTTACTTAATGACTATAACATAAATAAAACGATATAGAATTGAGCCAGAAATAACCAAAAAAAATGGTAAATTGACTACACTCTAACCTAGAAAATTTTGAATTTGGAGAAACCAAGAGAGAAGAGCAGTTAGCCAATTAGATAATTGAACTTGTGATTTGTGAATGACATAGAAGCTTGAAGTACAAACTAAATAATTTTCAAGAGTCACAAAGAGCAATAATGTAAATGAAATTTAATTTCAGATTTTGGATACCACTCCCAAAACTTTAACGAACTTCATATACTACGTATAACTATACATCCACTTGTAAAACATTATTTTCCTCTCCAATTTACCCTTGAAACAACTAACGTTAACCAAATAGTCTCACTCTTAAAACACTTACACCGACACACCATAAAAATAGATATCATCACATGTTTTTTTTCAGATAAGATAAGAAGAATGAGGAAGTATGAATACATTGACAAATAACCATAATACGTAATGACATCTATTTTGGACAAGATTATTATTGCAAGGAAGTATGAATATTGTGACAAATAGCTGAAAATTCATCAGTAATTATGACGTTTTATTTGAGATGGGACATAAAATTGTAAATGTCCCTACGTTAGAACAAATAGAAGAACAGCCAAGTTATGGCTTGTTGTGTCAGACTCAAAGTTTGTACATGTGCTCAAGGTTTTACCCTTCTTATGGTGGGTGGTCCTAGCCCTTGTGCACATGTTTTTTTTTTTCCACAAACACATATTATTATCACTATACAATTTTTGAAAAATATCTTATTATTAATATCATGCATATATACAAGTACAATTGATACATGAATGATTCACACGGAGAAGAATATTCTTGATTTTATTCCAACGCAAGGTTGAATGGCTAACTATTAGTCACCTAAAGCCAAAAAAAAAAAATGCCAATAAGGTAAAATCTTTTAACGACAGAGTGAGAGTGAGAGTATGTGTGCGCAACTAATAAAAATTAGAGAAGAGGGTAGAATTTCTTGCAAGTTACGGTTTGTGAGCTAATTTGGCAAAATCTTTGACCTAAACTTCACATCACTTGAGGTTTTATGTCACTTAAATTAGTAGTGCATAAGGTCGCTGCTTCAGTAACATAAAGCTTTTCAAACATTTACAAGTTAAGGCTATGTGTTCTGAAGAAATTTCATAGACTAATACCTTGGAGCCTTGGAGGTTACGAAGTGTTCTATTGCTTCTTTTTATTGCTTCCACTATACAAGAAATCCAAAATTGCTGAAGCTTTTGATGGTTCGTCCTGTGTGCATCCACTACCACTACTAGCCCTTTCATTCTTTGTGACCTCCTTGGCAGAACTTGCTGAAGTCATTTTTATCCCAGATCCATATTTTGCCGCAAATGAGAGTGTGGATAAGAGAGCTCTTTGAGCTGTGCCTGGTGTGTTTTTAACTCCAATCATAATTGGAGATTGACCTGAAGAAGCTGGAGAACCCCAAAGCTTTGGTTGTACTGCCTTCTCAGATCCTTTTGCACTTTCGCTTTCTCTCATCTGGGAACCCAGATGCCCGTTATTAGGCAAGGTAGCTTGTGATTTGCCAGCACAATTTGGAAATCCACCAGAAGACGGAACACTAATTTGCTTGGGGCTCATTGGAACTGGATTGGCCTCAGGCATCCCACAAACACTTAACACTTTGCTTGACATTTCCTTGTTTAGCTGATCACTAGTAGCAGAAGGATCATCGCTTTTGTGAGATGAGTTCACATTCTCCGACTTTCCAAATGAATAAAATCTAGAATTATCCCTGTGCTGTGAGGGGTTAGCTTGTTTTTTATCCCCTGAACTACCAGCTGAGTGTCTCACAAATGAGATAAAACCCTTCCCTTGTGGTGTGTCTGAAGCAGGGGTATCAATCAAATCTTTAACTACATTGACAGCTGTTGTTGCTATATTTGGCCGACTACTAGTTCCTGTAGCGCTGCCACTTTTCTGGGATAAATCAATTTCTTTAAGCTTACCAGAATCCTTCAGTGATGATTTTCCGGATGAAAGAAAGCTTAAACCTTTTGGTGCCTTTCCTGGCAAACTGGCTTGAGTTGCTATATTCTCCTTCAGATTCTTGGGGGTCGCAACACCAGAAGAGAAGGATGCATTAGCATCAAGCTGCTGTTTAGAATCTGACTTGTCAAGTTGATCTCGAATAGTACTCCCAAAGTGGGAAACTCCTGCAGCAGTTTCTGCGACTTTCTTAGTTGGAATCTGATGAAACACAAGTGAATTAAATGTATATAAATATTTTTCAGCAAGTAAAACAGCTGGTTTTAAGATAAGATAATTAGATGCAAGAATAATTGAATATACCTTGTGTGAAAAAGAGCAGCTATCACCTCTGCTACAAAAATTTGTAGACACATAACTGTTACATGGATAATTGGATAACTGATGATCAAATGGACAATCATCCCCCTTCATGCAAGCTTGACGTGCAAAATGACAGCATGGCTGTAGCAAGAAGTGAACAAGAGGATGAGCCTTAGAGAAAGAGAGTAGAGCAAATAGAAAAGTCCATGCAACAAATCTGACAAAAATGCGTAATGACACAAACAGAAATCTTTAACGTACATGACAAGGCTATATGACTCATTCCCTCCTCTGAGCCTTATAAGAGGCATCAGGTCAATGGTATGAAAACTATAGTGCATGAAGAAGAATCCAGTTCTTAGCTGGAAACCTTTCATTTCTATGTGAGCAGAAATTGATTATTCTTTTTCATCTAGACCTGATCTTTTTCTCCCATTATCAAATTTTATGAGATCAATGTTCAACGAGTGCCAGGCCAGATTTTCCAACAAGCATTTAACCAGGTCCCTAAATTGATCGCCAAATAAATAGGTTTTTTTTTTTCCTTTTTTTTTCGTGGTGCGGGGTGTTGGAGGGTGGTTGGGGGGGGGGGGGTGGACAAGTTATGAACACACACACACACACATATATATATATAGAAGTATTAGAAAGACACAATGGGATGTCACCCATGCCAAAATCAACACAGTAGGTTCATTCTTATCTTAGCCTCACAGCAACAACCTTACACCAACAATCCTCATTTTGAATTCTATCCCTGAGGGTGCTCCTATACATTTATAATAGCATACAAGTTTTTGCTACACTCATCTTCTATTATTTGATACTTCTTATGGTTCTTAGATGCCTAATATTCCAAGTCATTAACCATGTACGGAAACCTTCACTAAGGTGAATAAAATGAACATTAAATAGACATAACAAAGTGATTAATATGATAGCTATTATGTATGTAGACACTAGACAATAATACTAATCAGTTAATCCTCAGATAGTGTTCAATTATTGTACCTGGGATTTTGTCAGTGGTATCACATCATGTGAAAACTTGCATTTCTCACCCTGAAAATAGAAAAGGCATATATGAGAAACCTATTATAATATATAAATAACTATTTACTCAAAACAGCAAGGAAACACTACCGAATAATATAACCAGACTAAATGCCCTTAGGTAAAAGATAAACTTGGCTAAAGACTAGAGGATCCAAAGCATAAATTACATAGTACTTGTTAGATATCATGACATACGCATTTATTCATATATTACATAAATTTGTTCCATAGTATCATCAAATTCCACCTTCCGCAATATACTAAATTTTGCAAAACATGTGGTCAATTACTGGACTTACGCAAGAACAATTAATCAAAAGACAAGAGAACTGTAGACCATTGAGCCGTAAACAGCTATATGAAAAGCAATCTCATGAGATGGTACATAAAATGCTAAAAAGAAAGTGCAACATCACATGAATAGCACAAGACAGAAGATACAAAATATACAACTTAAAATCAATTTTAACAGTAAAAATTATATAACCCACCAAATGCAGTAAACAAAATAAAACACATAGCTACATGCTGATGATCCGAATGTGAAAATAATTAATCTATCAATTTAATTTCAAATCATAATTGAACAGGAGAAAAAAAAAAAAAAAAAAAAAAACTCAAATAATAAGATATAACCACCTCTTGGCATCTTCCCATGAGATAATGGCGACAGGGTGCAATAATTTTTGGTTTCACGATAGTAGTAAGTTTTAATCTCTTGACACCATGTTTCTTATCCATTTCTGCTCGTTTCTTCCTTTTATTCTTCTGTAGAATTAAATTAGCAAAAAAGAACGTGTTACCTCAAAAGTTAAATTACTGCAGCAAAACAAAACTTTTAAAATGAAGCAACAGGCACAAAAAATTCTGTTTACTACTTTCAAACAAGAAACATAAACTTATTGATCAAGAGAAATTAGTAAATTTGATAAAGATATGATCATTAATTACTAAGTTCCATGACAGATATTGAAGCAAATCACTGTGGGATGCAAGATAGAAGTTCGGTACTTCATTTTATCAAAGCTGCAAATGAGAAAACTCAATTAACAGCATCTAGAATGTGAAATACAGGTGTAGACACCTGATTGTGTCCCTACAACATGTAATAATTCTTAGTAGCATCCAGTCAGGCAGTCACTATAGGAAAGTGCACTATAATAAGGAACCATTTGGAGACTCGGAAAGCAAATGAAGAAAGCTCCAGTCATTAATTACGTCTGAACAGGACAATCCAGAAAAACACAACTCTTGAGATGAGCCCCTGGAAGAGCTAGGAACAATGCTTCTAATAGATATCCAACTACAGACCATATCTCAGTAAGAATCACCATATCTTCTATTGAAAGATACCTCCCCAAACTCCCTCATGGTAACTTTTTGAATGGCAAATAATTGCTTGTAGAAAAAGTCATCTTAAAATATTAGGTTTCTCCAAAATCTGCTTCGCATGATTTCTTGTAAAGTCTATTGCAAGCAGACAAGCTAAAGCCCCATAAATACAAAGGCTTTTCTTGACTACTTCATCCAATGTTAGAAAAAAAATAAAAGAGAATATATAAAATAAAACAAAATAAATAAAACCTTTTTCTTTTCCTTCTTCGCCTCTGAAGAAGAGCCTCGTTTTTTATTCTTTGGGATGCTTGAGCCCTGAATAGATGGTAACACCAAGATGAAAAATGTTAGCAAATGTTGCAAACAATGTCAAGTCGTCAAATATGGATGCTGCAAACAAATCAGCCCAATACATCAAAAACAAAATGTAAGTTACAATTTAAATTCAACAAATCATCTTAAGACACAAATTCGTAGGAAAAAAAAAAAAGTACTCCCCCATTTTTTAAGAGCCCCAATTTGAGTTTTTGTAAAATTCACATAATCCACTTGGACCAATGTTAGTGATTTATACATAAGACAAAAATATAGTCATGTGGCTACTTGTTGGAAACGTCTCAAAGTTTAGTTTTCAAATACCAACTTTTTATATTTTATACATAATTGATAACTAAAAGTATTATTGGTCAAAGTGCTGTATTGCCATGCATGCCTAGTCACATTAGGGCACTCTTTAAAAAGAGGGAGTAGAGTTTTTTTTTTTTAAAAAAAAAGGGACATTAAAATAAATAATTATGTTATATAGATTTGAGGTTATAATTTTAACAAGATCTAGTAAACAAATCAGCTTAAAATGTCCCACATCAGTGTCCAATCAAAGGACCATGTCTCTGTGTTTGAAACTTTGGGTTCTACTTCTAATGGATACCCCTGTGAGGGTCATGGTTTTAATGTTGTGATGGTAAGGATGGAGTAGCAAGGGGTTGGATGTGTGTGTGTGTGTGTGTTTTTTTTTTTTTTTTTTTTTTTTTTTTTGTTTTTTGTGGGGGGGGGGGGGTTGCGGTGTGAAGAACGAGGGCAGGGCTAGAGGGAATAAAGATTAATTGTAATTTGAAGTTAAACTCAAATATCTATGTATCAATGAGGTTTTGGAGGGTAAACCCCTCAAAACAATTTTATGAAACAAAGATTATTGACTGGTTAGGTACTTAGGTTTACTCCAAACCCCAAACAACACCATACAAAACAGATCAAAAAGAAACCTCAATGGTTCCAAGCAATATGTATAAAACTGCATCTAAAACAGAATAGTTTAATCCATGCGCATGTGGGGAACAGATTCAATTCATCTCCAGGAAAGCTGTTATATTGGGTCTTCGTCTCTTTGACCACCCTCAAGTTGGGGTTTAAAACTCTACTCCGTATTAATTAGATCATTTTAGACACTCAAGCTTGAATAGAAGAAAACCAGGGAAGAGTTGGGATGAGGAAGGGCAGTGGGAAGGTCTTCATGTCCCCAATTTCAAAGAGCTAAATTTCATGCACCTGGCTCCCACATCTTTGTTTGATCAGCAGCAAATCCAATTTTATTCAAAAAACAAATAATATCACATAATATGCTAGCTATAAAATATACAATTATCAGTTCTTGTCTTTTTTCATGCACCTGGATTCTAAGGAGCACATTAAGGTTATGGAAATGCGCATGTTGATGGATGTGCAGGAACACTCCAAGAGATAGAATCAGAAACGAAGTAATTCGTAAGAAAGTGGGTGTTACAAGCATTGCAGACAAACTAAGGGAATATCGACAGCGTTGTTCCGGCATGTAAGACAGAGATCCCAGGGTGCACCGGTACAAAGAGTGGAAGAGTGGGATCATGGAGAGTTAAACGAGGATAGAGGGAAATTGAAAATGACTTAGTTGGAAGGAGTTAGAAGGATATGAAGCATATGGATTTGCATGAGAATGAGGTATTTGAACGTAAGGTATGGAGGACTTTTTTTTTTGGTGGATAAGTATACGGAATAATCACTTTTGGTTCATGTAGACAACCCCACTTATGGGGCTTTGATTGATTCATTGATTGTCCTTTTTCACAAATCCAGGAGTTCTAATTGTGAAGATCAATCAGTCAGCTTCATACACTCTTTATAAATGTATATAGTCAAGATACTCCCACTATACCAGATACCTTTTAATTAGGTTTGCTTTCAGAAGTTATCATGTCAGCTTTCTTATGCTAACTTCCAGCTTACTGGTGTCTGTTAATTATTGTTTCATTTTATTTGTTAAATTTCCCGTACGTTCATACTTCCAAAAAGCCTAATATTCCATTTCATAGTAACTATAATAATGCACATATAAATAAATAAATAAATAAATAAATAAATAAATAAATAAATAAATAAATAAATAAATAAATAAATAAATAAATAAATAAATAAATAAATAAATAAATAAATAGATAAAAACTGCCAAAGTTAAATGTGGCAGAAAGATAAAGGTCATTATGAAAATCAAAACTGGACCCTTCAGAAAGGCACGGAAAATCAGAAAATGGATAAATTTAGAACTAACAGCATCAACAAAACTAAAGAGCATCAACAAAAATAATTAGTATATCCTGTTATACATAAATGAATGACACCATTTCTTTACCTCTTCTTCAGCCATTTTATTCTCTGTAGGAGGACCTGGGTTTTTCTTCTTAGCACTGCCAGCATCCTGTTATAAATGATCAACATAACAAAAAAAAAAAAGCTTTTAATAGGCTAGGAGGAAGTGTAAAACATGAGTGATGAAAACATTTACACAACTAAGAGAACAAAGAGTCAAAACGACAAATTAAGAGGGGGGGGGGGAATATAAGAGCAAAACAAAATAAAATAATAAGATGTCAAATTTGAGGTAGAGATATAAAAAGTGGAAAACTTTCCCTGTGGTGGACTTTGAAGAGATGGGAGGAACAAATCTAAATGCCTTAATTTGTGTGCAAATAGTTAATGTTATGGGAACTTTGGAAACGGAGGTAGTAGTACATATTAACAAAAAAAAATGAAGTATGATTTATAGCTATGGCTTGGTTATCTGTGCTTTTCCAAGTGAAACTATTAAAATAATTAAGTTAAAGAAGAAGTGGCAATTATTGACAATAATTTGTTTTTCCACATCAATTATAAGCCTAATGGCCCTAATCTCCTTTCATATTCCACCATGGAGAAGCCCAAACAAAACACTGCCAAAGGAAACAAACACTAACATCTATTATCGGAGAATCCACCATTCCTTGACACAAGAACCCCAATGTGAAAAACAAAGCATTTTTCAAGGAAAAACAAAAAAAGTCTTGTCAGTTGCCCTTGCCTTCACAAAGTCCAAATAGTCCAAATAGATGATGCCTACTTTCTTAATTTCAACTTTCCATAGATAGTGCTACTAATTATATGAAAGAAATGACACTATAAGCATACAGGTAAAGTAGACAATAATTCACAAAGACTAATTTGAAAATATTTACTGCAGTGTTAAATAAGAGATAAAAGCGATGCAAAATGAGCTCCATCCAATTCACATTCACATATAATCATAATAAGCTTAGTGAGGAAGAGGATCATAGTAATATGATCATTCAACTATAATGTAGCCAAAAAAAAGAGGATCAAGCTATCACATTAGAGCACAAAAAGGGAAAAACAATCAGAGCAACCAGATACAACTCACAGTCTTTTTTCCAGCGGCAGAATCCTGGTATTTACTATGTACCTCAGCATCAATTTCTCGTACAATTTTCAGGATATCCTCGGGAACAGATGTCATCTTCAAGAAAATCAAGTTAAAGATATCATAAGAATAGTAAACTAAGAATTTTGTAAAGATATATCTCAGCTAACTCATTTCAGAGAAGGACAGAGACTTGGAACAAAATATCAGCTAGCAACAATCTATAAAGACTGAAACAAACAAGAAACCAAAAACAAACTGGTTTCAAATGCAACAAATATTGAAGAATAATTTTTTTCAGAATTTAGACATGAATTAAAATTATCAAACTAAAAATCAATGATAAGATTAAAGCCAGTAAAGAGATACAATGCCACTGATCAAACTAGAACTTAAATGGGACAGCCAAACAGGTCAAAGAAAAGTCCTTGCAACATGTCAACGGACACCAAAGAGAAGCAAGGTATACAAGCTCTACCCAGAGTATCCACACTCCACAGACACAGTACAGACAAAAACCCTACTTACAAAAATCCTAGTAACTTTTCTATCCATCAGTGAGACCTACAATATTGCCACATTTCAAATCCCAACAAAGCCACCAATAAGTGCATAAAAAACTTAGCAAAGACAAGCCTGATGCACTTCAGAAATCCTAAACACTATGCTAAACAAGGGTGGCTAGCTGAGGGAGTGAGAACAAACAGTTCTCCCCTTACCATATTACAATACATATATGAGTGGTAAGCACCCAAACTTCTAACTAGCCTTATATCACACAGGTGAATGAAGCTTAATTATCCAAAGAAAAAGAGCATAAGGTGAGGATTTGAAATAATTATCCTTATGCATTGAATGGACTAACAACCCAAAATTGTAATTATGTGATGTTCTTGCTACCCTTAACTCAGCAATATCCCACTGGCCACAGGTGTCTGGCATGTACACTTAGAATGAATGAGATCGGCTATGGACACGGGTACAAGTATAAAAAGGATATGGAAAAAACATTAATCTCACATTATGGGTCACGGGTACAGCCATAAGACAACTGATATTATAAATGTAAATAAAAAATTTAATAAAAAAAAAAAGGAATTTCAATATTATTCAACAAATCGCTAGAGAAATTGCATTGCATAAACAAAATTAAAGGACTTGGTCTTAAAATCAAAAATCCAGATAGTACTTCACTCTTTTTTAATTACAATGTTAGAGTTTTCATGCTTGCCAATGCACACATTACACCATCAATATCATTTATTATACTTAACCAAGAATTATAAAAAAATTCATATTGTGGAACTGTATATCGAGAGGGATCTAACAAAACCCCACATGAGTACATGACTATGTTTTTTCTAAGTAAACCACAAAGGAGTGTGTGTGAAAAGTGCAATTTTTTCAATATTGCAATTAAAAACCAAAAGACTAACTTGACTTTCGTTCAACGCGATGCCGAAACGGAGGAAGTATAATTTTTATAAACTGAATTAGCATAAACTACTTGAGCAGTTGCACACATTAATTCTTTCCTCATTTTCTTTCTTTACACCCCCACTTTTCCCTCTTCTCGGATCAAAAACTATTACATAAACTAATTTAATACATCGAAATCAACAATCTCACTTAACAATCTTTTAATACTCTCTTTTGGCTTAATCTCTTCCTCCACTCCCCTCACTCTATTAATTAGCAAACAACACCTCGTTGCTTTCGTCCACCTCCAATTTGTATTTCTAAAAATCAGCTATGAAAACACCCATGATAATAACTCTCACATTCTCTCCTAAATAAAGAGAGAGGGAGAGAGAGAGAGTTCCAAAGATGAGGTGTGTTAAAAGGAAAAACACGTCATATCAAAGTACACTTTCGTGTCCAAGTGTTCAAAAACATTTTAAAAAATAAAAATAAAAAAATAAAATAAAAAAGGGACTTGGTTTTTTTGGCATGTCTATGACATTGTCGTGTATCCAAAGCCGCGTCCAGACACACGTGTTGGGTTAAGTGTTTGTGTATCCTACGTGTTGTACACACTAACCCTCCCCCCAAAGGCTCTCTAACCCTATTCTCTTTTATTTGGACGGTAAATTGCTCCTTCTACTTTAAGTATTATTATATTCAAGCTTGAACTATATAGGAAAATTTGTAAATCTAGCATTCATCTCATCCTTACAAGGTACATTTATACTAAGAGATATAACTTTAAACACATATACTTTGCAATAAGTAATAAAAGAAATAAAAAAAGAACAGCTAATAAATAAAAAAAGCAAAGAAAATAAATGTAACACTAGACAGCTGGTTTGTTATTATTGTAAGTTTTAATTCAGATTTTTTTTATTAAAACAAGTTTGAAAACCAGACTTAGTTTTCATTATCAGTTGCTAATTTTCAAAATTAATATGACTAGAGTGAGTATAACTAGTATAATATGACTAGAGTGAGTATAACTAGTATGATATCCTTGGTTTAAAAAAAATATTAAAAAAAAAAAAAAAAAAAAAAAAAAAAAAAAAAAAAAAACTACTATGATGTCCATTATACTCCATACAACTTACATCATGCGCAACTTTTGATAACTAAAGCCATATTATAACAGCAGTTACATCGAATAAACAATTGGCACTTTAATAACAGGGGGAATAGTTTCCAGGTTATGTTGACTTACCAATAACTAGTCCAAACAAACCAAGAATAGGATACATCAACAAGCTTAAGATTTGTCACTTGTCAGCACAAAATTTGGCTTAATAATTTTAAAGTTTTGAAGTTGATATAAGAAAGAATGAAAGAAGACAACAAGTAGTTGACTTCCAAATAAGTGCACATGTCTTCTCAATGCTACTCTAGAATTAAGCTCAAATTAAAGAACCAATACAACAATCCGCAATAGACATATAAAATTATTGAACATGCAAAATAGAACCATTGAATAGGACCAATCAAACAGAACATGCTTATCAAACAGAGCCACACTTCACACCTACCTTCCAAATATTTAGTAACTCCTGGCGAGAGTAATGAATCTTTGCACAACTCTTGGGCCAATTATTTCCAACCTAACAAAGGAAAGTAGAATATCAACAAAATTAAGCATTTAAAGTATCATAAATTCATATTGAATCCAAACATAGTGGTCATCAAAAGACATAATCTTTCTCGTAAATTCACCAACATCAGAAGATAATACATGCGGAAGCGGAAATAAGGTAGAACACTAGAACTACCCACCTATAAATAAGGAGAATGTAACTAAAATGTGAGAAGAAAACTTTATATGGTTTATACATTTTCATTTTTGTGGTTACTTAAGATCAATGTGCGCTTTTATATCTTTCATAGACCAATTAAAAACTGGAATGGTTTAGGATAGTATAATCCGGTGAAATTTTCAAGAGAGATATATGAAGTAGGATTAAAACAGTTTTATTTTATAAACAATTAAAGTTAAGTAAACACATGATTCAGTCTTTTATTTCTCAACAAACATAAGTTTAAATTTAATCTAAAGTACTGTTAAATTAGCTACACAGAACCTCTCAACCAAATGTTGAATTTCTTTATTAAAAAAATATGAAAAGAATTGACAATTAATGAGAACCTGCTGCTTCGCAATTCCTACCTCTTTTACAAAGTATGTATCAATATAGATATGTTCCAAACTTCTGATAAATAGAACTCCATGGAAAGTAAGAAAACAAATTTTTGCACACATCGAATACTTTGTAAATAGTAATATAAGCTTTATCCTAACTTATACATGTCTTCTACATATCCAGTTGAAAAAATAGTTATTATTGGAAAGCTTGCAATAGTAGCAAAATGTCATATACAAAATTAACCTCACACAACTCTCAAGATTTGGAGATCAAGGAAGATTCTACCATCAAAAGCAAAAGCTTCTCAAATTCAACTCTATAGAGAAGAGGAAAAAGAATAAAATTAAGAGGACTTCAAAACAGATTATATTTGATATAGAAGGAAGGTCAGACGTGGAAGAACACACTGTCAAGTGTCACCAGCAGACCTCTTCTCTTCTAGAAAGAAACAAGAGTTTATATGCTAGTACCAACCGTCAAGAATGAGTGAAGTGGAAAGCCACAATGGGCACCTCTCCAATCCATGAAAATAATTAGAAACAGAAATTATTCCAAGAGATTGCAACATTGCAAATAACTGACAAACGCATACTCCCTAAGACAAAGGCGTCATCTTAAAGTAACTATTAAATAATTTAAAATTCACAACTTTTGAACAAAAACATCAAACTTATTTCATGAATTACATATTTAAATCCAAAAAGAAGACAATACCTTCCTTGCAGTAGATTTTCCTGTGTTACCATATACACTTTGCTTCACCATCTTCTCACACACAACTGGATCAACACCACCAGAACTCATGTTGTAGGAAGTCCCACTATCTATAGATAAAATCTTACTTTTTCCTGAATTGACATCCTTCGCAGATGTCTTCTTAACCTTCTTTATTTTTCCCTTAGTAACAGCACTAGATTTATTCCTCATCATAATGCTATTTGAGATTGTTCCTCCTGTATTGTTGCTTTTTGGTGCAGCAAAAGTAGGATTTTCAGATTCAGATAAACCTTGAGGAGCTTTTCTCTGCTTTCCCTGAGGCATCTGAGCCTCTCCAGGACACATACCAACATGTTGGATTCCAACCTCTCGACAGTCAGATATCTCTCTAACCACAGACAGATGAGTATGAGATTTTGCTTCATCACCTCCAGAAGTTGATGTGCTGACTTCCACATGCTTTTGTTTCTTCTCCTCTGCCCCATATCCCTTCATATTCCCATCAACAGTCACTTTTGCACTATTGCTGCTTTCAGCTATCACAGAATTATTAATAAAAACATCTGTGTCCAAAAGACAGCCAAATTCATTCAAAAAATTAGAATTTACATTTTTGTCTGACAGTTGTAATACACTAAAATCATCTGATTCATCCATCAGAATTCTCTCAATACCTGACAATTCTTCATGCACTTTGTCAACCTCAGCCATCCCAGTGCTGGTGCCCTCCTCAGCAGAAGGCAGTTTTTCCATGGTTTTACTTTTATTGGTCCTACCCAACTCATTTATTAGTTTTGAGCCACTGAAACCGATGTCTTTACAACCTTCCCCAGGAACCCTCTCGTTATTTGCCTCATGATCATGAACAGACAAAATATGAGCCTCCACAGTATCAGAACCAGCCAATGTATTAGAAGCTTCTTTCTCAACTCTTGGTACAACCACATGTTCCACATCACTGCATAAATCATCTTAAACCAAAAAAATAAGGGAATGAACAAAAAATGTCAAAATTTAGCCTCATAAATAATATTTTAACATCCTCACCCAGCATTTTCTTCCTATTTAAATCTTATCTCTATAGAATTTGCAAGACTCCACCATTTGATCATTCATTTCAAATGATAAAGTTCATACCCAAATACTCATCAACAATAGAATGACCGAGAAATTCATACATCGAGCGCAAATGAATCCAACAGGCAAACTTCAGACACACCTAAGATGCAGAGTGTGATTAGCACAATCAACACATAATACACAACCTAAGACAAACATAAATTATAGCAAATTATAAAAAAGTGAGTTCACTTCTAGTAAGCCCAATTCGAATCGCCCTCGATTGCACACTAAAATAAAATTATAGCAGATTATAGCACAAAAGTACCTGAAGCTAGTCGCCTGGAATCGATCAGATTATCACGACACTGCCTGGGAAACTCTACAAATTCAAACAAACCCATTATAAAATATAATCAAATTAACAATCCCAAATCACCCAAATAATCAAAACCAATCAAATCAAGCAACAAAATGACTAAAACTTATTAAGTACCTGGAAGTTTAGCATTAGATGCACACTCAGAAAATGGGTTTTGATCAGAGAAGAGAGAGAAAATTTTAACAAGAGCATCGAAAGATTTGCTGGGAATAGGGCGTCTTGGAGGTGGAGGACCAAATAGTTCTTTGATTGGATCATTCGACGGAACTCCGGGATTGGAATTATCCATTATAATCGAATTTGATTAAGTAGAAAAAGGCCTGATTTTAGCAGACAAATTTTGGGTAATGGAATGATAAACCCTAGAAAATTGAAAAGGGTTTTACAGGCAAGGTTTTGGGAATATATAATTTCAGGAACTCTCCGTAATATTCATGATTTTACAAGGAGAATGTTGAATTTTGGCGGGACTTGGTTTGCGACTTGCACGATGAGCTATGAGTGTGAGTGTGTGACTTCAATTAGCTACTGTACTCAATTTAACTCGAATCGGAACTCGAATCGGGTTGACTTGTGAGAAGTTCAAGATCAATAGGGTCCTTCTCCTTACCATAAAAATTATAAATAAAAAATAAAAGAAATGAAATGTGTTATTTTTGAAATAACCCTAATCAATTATTTGAAGCCCTTATGGCCTCATTTGACAATGCTAGAAGATTAATCATTCGAAGTGTTAATGTTCCTTTTTTGTCAGATTGGAGTCTTTTCTTTATGAGTTTTGGTGTAAACACCAAATAAAGCATAACTTGTTCTGCTTTTTAAAATAACCGCAACAAATTTGAGGTAGATGATTAAAGAAGTTTTTTCTACTAATGTATTAACTTTTATAGAGTCCCTTCAATAAGTGGGGACAGAAGATTGTGTCGCATTCTTGAGTATGAAATTAAATCTTCCTCTTATTCAAGTGATTCAAAAATGACATTATCATTACATCAATTAACTCATCAATTGAACTCGAAGAATAAGCATTTCAGTTCTTGTTAATTTTGGTAACAAAAGAAAAGTTTGTTTATAGTACTCCCTCTGTTTTTTTTTTTTTTATTTGCGTCACTTTCCTTTTATGGGTGTTTTTTTATTTGCATCACTTCTATATATAGTAACTTTACATTATATTTTATTATTTCTCTCTCTTACTTTAAACTTCACCCAAAATAGTTTATCATTTTTTTATCTCATGATCCCCACTACTCTCTCACATACTTTCACTTTCATGATCCCCACATTACTTTTACCATAATAAATTATTCATCCACTCACATTATTAATTCATTCTCCTAAAACTCCGCGCACTTGCAAGTGATGCAAATAAAAAAAAAAAAAGGAAAATTTCACATTTGCTACCAGGGAAAGCACTTGTGTTCACATTTGCTACCCCTTTAATATTTTATTTTAAATTGCTACCACCTAAATCAGAGTTTTATAAAAATCACTACCACTTGACAAACACCGTTAATATTCCCGTTACCACCACCCAACCACCGTCCAGCCACCACTCCTTCCCACCCACCACTTCTTCTCACTCACCAGCTGTCCACCGCCGCTGTTCAACATCAAACCACCGCAACCACCACTCACCGTCCAGCCACTCCTCCGTGACTCCCTTCCCGTCACTCCGACCAAACCAACCACCATCGAACCCCTTTCTTGCTGTCGACCAGCCACCACAACGAAACCCCCATCCCTTTCCCCGTTCTCGCAGCCCCGACCCACGACTCCAACCACCCACCCCGTCGGCGCCGACATCGCGTTTCCAGCCCCCTCTCCTCCCTCGAAAACCTCCTCGATCCCAGCCCCTTTCCCCTCGAAAACCCCCCTCGTTCCCAGCCCCTCTCCCCTCGAAAACCCAATTCCAGCCCCTCCTCGTCCCTCGTTCCCTTTTCTGGCCGAGACGAAGGAATTCCCTGCCACCCAAAACCACCCTAAGCGAAACCCTAAAACTCGTTTAGGGTGGTTTCGGGCAGGGAAATAAGGGTTAGGGTTGTCGGTTTTGGGTGGGGAAGGGGTGGGGTCCGATTCCGACGCCGGTTGCCGCATCTTTGGGCGCTGGCCGCCGGCAGGGGGAGTGGGGAGGGTGGTTGACGGGGAGGGCTAGGGTTTTTTGGGTGGTTGGTTTTTATTTTTTTATTTTTTATTTATTTATTTATTTATTTTTTAATAAACTTAACGGAATCCGTTAGGATTCCGTTAAGTGGTAGTGATTTTAACAGTAGGTGTGTTTGTGTGGTAGTAATATAAAATAAAAAATTAAAGGGGTAGCAAATGTGAACACGGGTGCTTTCCCTGGTAGCAAATATGAAATTTTCCTAAAAAAAACAAAAAAAAAAACGGGGGGAGTAGTATATAAATTATTAGTAGTGAGTTTTTTTTTTTTAATTTTTTTTTTAATTTTTTTTTAATGAAGAGATTATTTAATTAAAAGACATGATTACAACCTAGATTGTGTAAAAGGAACTAAAAAGCAACGCACACTTAAAACTAGCTTGTACAAACCAAACTGAAACAAAGCAATAAAAGTTGGTAAATTGCGGCTTTTGCACTTGATGGATCCCTGATTGTTGTATGAAATTCACAAACGATAATGGTACGTAAAATCTGTCAAAATAAACTATACATGTGATTTGCATTAGCATCAACCCATAAAACCTGTTGGCTGCACTATTGTAGATTTGTAGGAAAAAGTGTAGAAGCTACGGTAGAATACTTAAAACCTGTCAAATTAGTTGTGAGGTTGTGTATATGATTTGCCAATGTATTGCATTCAAGTGTTCAACCAAGCCATGTAACAAATTTTCTAAACTCGTCCTTTGATCTTTTGGAACCAATAATAATGTTGTTGATGACTAAATCAGTCATATGATATGTGGCTTAGTCATTTAACAAATCTTTTAGGGGATGGTAACAAAAACACTAGCTAATTGCTTGTTACAAATATTTGATTTTGCAAATCAAAGACATGCATGGCAATATTATTCTAAATCAAACACATCAAGCTTATATCAGATGGCGAGTATTTCATAACTTTTAATCATTTTAGATCAATTACTTTAGAAATCAAAGTACAATTCAACCTGGCAATCCTGATCCGACCCGAATGACCCGACCCATAACCTAAAAGTTGACCTGAAAATGATCCGAACCCAAACTAAACTAACCCGACCCGTAATAGAGTTGACCTGAACATGACCCGATGACCCAAAGTGACCCGACCCAGATGACCTGACCTGAAATTGACCTGATACCCGAACTTGACCTGACCTGAAACAACCCGAAACCCGACGTGAACCGACCCAATTTTAACCCAAATTAATTGACTCGAATCGACCCGACCCGTCCCGAAGTGACCCGACCCGAATTGACCCGAATCCTAAGTGAATAGGGTGAAATAGTGAATTACTTAGTTTATGGCTTCTTTATTTCCTACGTAATATGTACTCATGATTTTTTTTTAACGATTTTACTTTATTTTTCCAACTATTTTTTTAAGTGAATTTATTTAGGTAACCCGACACAAACTTGACCCGAATAGACCCGACCCGAATTGACTCGATCCAAATTTGACCCGGCCCGAAATTGACCAGAAAATTGTTCTTAAAAATTGACCCGACCCGAATTGACAAGACCCGAACTTGACCTGACCCGAACCAAACTTGACCCAAAGTACTGACCCGATTTTGACCCAAAACCCGACTCGACCCGAACCTGACCCAAATATTTGTTGACCCGTCCCGAACCCAACCTGAATTGACCCGTCCCAAACCCAACCTGAATTGACCCGTCCCAAACCCAACCTGAATGACCTGTTTACCAGGTTTAAATTGTATACTCAATCAATTTACTTCGTATTTAAAAGGTTTTCAAGTTAAAAACTTTAAAATCCTCACTGACTCACTTCACTAGCAGTAGCGGCTACATGTACAAATTGCTGAGTACAGACGTTGAGACGTGGTAACTGGTACAGAGCAGTAAGTAGTTTCCTTTGTTTAAGAAAACAAATGCCAAATAGGGGGCAAGTGAATATAAATTAGCACCATATATAGTAGTAAAAGATTTAAATGGCATCTTTTACGTAAAAAGTGGTGCAGTCATGAAGCAAATACGTACTTAATTAATGCCACTCCTTCCCCTCTACGAGCTCTTCATTATTGTCATCGTAATATAAAAAACACAGTATGATTGACATTTTTATTTCTTTTTATCATTTGTATTAACATCTCGTGTCACACGAGTATTATACTAAAGGACATATCATATCATATCATATCATATAACTAATATATAAAGCTGAACTTTTAGCCAGGTCACGAAATAGTGATACTTGACATTCGCGCCACCTTGGATAGATTTAAATAGATTCATAAAATAAAAAAGTTAGTTGAAAATTAAATTAGATAGAATTTTAGAATAAGAAGGTTAGTTTAGAGTTTTATTTTCGATAAAATACCAAATAATAATAATTATAATTAGGTCACAAGACAACATCGTATAGTATTTTAACTTTTCGCTAAGTGTCGTACCACGTTGGATAACTATAGATAGACTTTGTAGAAAAAAAAAGTTAATTTAGAATTATATTTTCAATCCATTAAATTGAATTATAATATAATTTTATCTTAAAATTCCATAAACAACCCGGGCATCGCACGGGGCACAAAACTAGTGTTATTATAAACGAGTATTACTGGTACATTATTTTGACTTTTGCACTAATCACATATCAATTTTGACTTGATATCATACTATTATACTAAAGGACGGATGTTATTATTTGTAAAGTTCTGCTAAGTAAAGTTTTGCTAAATTAGTCACAGTATATCCAAAATATCAACATTTTGCTTGAGGAGTATTCCAGCCTTAACCTAATTGACATTGACTATGGCCTATTTTGATTCACTGAATTGAGCTAAACTGAATTAAATAGAGCTGAAATGAATTGTTTGTAAGAGAAGGAAATTAGAAACTGAACAAAAATGAACTGAACTGAAATTAAGTTGAAAATAACAAACCCTAAACTGTCAAAACTATAAGTCAAACTCGAGCATATAAAGAAATCTAGTCGATACATCAACCCTTGGGATTTGTGATAACCCAAAAAAAAAATGGAGAAACAAGAGAATCCATCATCACCTATTCTCTCTCTTAGCCTACCACTACCAAAAGATCATGATTTCATGGAGATTGACCTGAAAAATAAAAAGGGAAGTTATAATAATAGTTATAGTTTAGTGAAAGAAACCAAGAAACAAGTATGGTTAGCAGGGCCATTGATAATAGTTGGGTTATTAACATTTTCGTTGCATGTAAATTCTCTAATGTTTGTGGGTCATCTTGGTAATTTACCTCTTGCTGCTGCTTCATTGGCTACTTCCTTTGCTTATGTTACTGGATTCAGCGTTTTGGTTAGTTGCTCTTCATCTCT